AGAAAATTTTGGGAGATCGAAGAGCAGTGCAAACAAACAAGTTCAAAAAAAATATTAAGTCCTGAGGAGCAAAGGTGTGAAGAGCTGTATACCAAAACTACAGTAAGGGATGCTGCAGGGAGATATATAGTACGCTTACCGTTTCGCGATAGTGATCCTGCTTGCAAGGGTGGCGGTTCAAGATACATTGCTGAAATGAGACTCAAGTCATTAGAAAAAAGATTAATTAAAGACACATGTTTAAAAGACAAATACATAGAAGTAATAAACGAATACTTACAATTAGGACATCTTCGACCTGTAAAGGAAGTGGACGATAAAAAGGATCAAGCGGTATACTTACCACACCACGCCGTAGTAAGGAATGACAAGACAACTACGAAGGTTCGGGTGGTATTTAATGCCTCTGAAAAAAATAAAAAAGGTATTTCCCTAAATGATACGCTGATGGTCGGACCAACTCTACAAGCAGACCTAAGACATACTGTTTTAAGGTGGAGGACACACTCGATTGGTTTAGTGGCCGATATAATAAAGATGTATCGACAAATTAGAATTGCTGACGAAGACGCCATGTTCCAAAGGATTCTTTGGCGGGACAGCCCTGATAAGCCAATCAGAGATTATGAGCTGGTCACTGTGACTTTTGGTACCGCTTCGGCTCCATATCAGGCGGTAAGAACTCTTCACCAAATCGCATATGATGAAAAAGACAATTATCCTTTAGCGGCAGACATAACATTGAATAGTTTTTATATGGATGATCTGATGACCGGGAGTGACAGTGTACAAGAAGGCATAGACATATTTAAACAGATAAATGTATTACTGAAAAAAGGAGGATTCATTCTGCAAAAATGGAATAGTAACAATCAGGAAATCATGAAAATAATAGAACAAATGAAGGTAACGGAAGGGGAAGTAGAACAAACAGATCCTATAAATAAAGAGAATAAGGATTTAGAAATAAAATTAGATAGTACAATAAAAATACTAGGTCTTACCTGGAACCGGGACGACGATAGCTTCCAATATACCGTGAATCTTCCTCCGCTGACGACAGCACCTGTAACTAAAAGACAAGTTATATCGGACATAGCCAGATTGTTTGACCCTCTAGGCTGGTTAGCACCAAGTGTGGTGTTAGCGAAAACGTTTATCCAAAGGTTATGGCTTGCAGGTGTTCCTTGGGATGAAGCATTAAATAAGGAACTAGTACAAGAGTGGAATACTTACCGTGAAGAGTTGTC